GGGAAAAAAAATCAAATTTAAAAAAATAATAATAATAAAGCAGAGTTTGGGCCCCAGGACTTGGGGAGCAAAGGAAAGAGAATTCAGGGATTTGAGGAGCCTCATCCCCACGGACACGGGGCCAGGGCACAGATCTGGGCAAAGATCCTGCTGCTTTCCTCACATCCCAACGATATTCTCCCCACATCCCAATGTTTTTCACACATTCTGATGATCTCCCCAAATCCTGATGTTTCCTCCACATCCTGATGTTGTTTCCCCCATATCCCAGTATTTTCCCCACATCCCAGTGATGTTCTCCCCACATCCCGATGTTTTTCTCACATTCTGATGATCTTCTCCCCAAATCCCAATGTTTCCCCCATATCCTGATGTTTTTCACACCTCCTGATGTTGTTTCCCCCACATCCCTGTGATCTTCTCCCCAAATCCTGATGTTTCCCCCACATCCTGATGTTGTTTCCCCCACATCCCAGTGATGTTTTCCCCATATCCTGATGTTGTTTCCCCCAAATCCCGATGTTTTCCCCAAATCCCAGTGATGTTCTCCCCAAATCCCAGTGATGTTCTCCCCATATCCTGACGTTTTCCCCATATCCTGATGTTGTTTCCCCCATATCCCAATGTTTTCCCCACATCCCAGTGATGTTCTCCCCAAATCCCAATGTTTCCCCCATATCCCGATGTTTTCCCCACATCCTGATGTTGTTTCCCCCACATCCCAGTGATGTTCTCCCCAAATCCTGATGTTTTTCCCAAATCCCAGTGATGTTCTCCCCAAATCCTGATGTTTTCCCCATATCCTGATGTTGTTTCCCCCATTTCCCAGTGATGTTCTCCCCAAATCCCAATGTTTCCCCCAAATCCCGATGCTTTCCCCAAATCCCAGTGATGTTCTCCCCAAATCCTGATGTTTTCCCCATATCCTGATGTTGTCTCCCCCATATCCCAATGTTTTCCCCACATCCCAGTGATGTTCTCCCCACATCCCAGTGATGTTCTCCCCAAATCCCAGTGATGTTCCCCCCAAATCCCAATGTTTCCCCCATATCCTGATGTTGTTTCCCCCATATCCCGATGTTTTCCCCAAATCCCAGTGATGTTCTCCCCAAATCCCAATGTTTCCCCCATATCCCGATGTTTTCCCCACATCCTGATGTTGTTTCCCCCACATCCCAATGCCTTCCCCACATCCCAGTATTTTCCCCACATCCCAGTGATCTTCTCCTCGTGTCACCCTCGCTCCCAGCTCCACCAAGAACCCTTCAGAGAGCGCAGCAGCAACCGCCCAAAAGCCTTGGAATTCCCCAAAATCCCGCTCCCAACGAGATCCCTGCCGGAGCCGCGACAGCCGGGAAAGCAACCCGGGGGTATTTATAGGGCTGGATTAGAGCGGGATCTGCTGGGAATGCAGGGAATGGAGAGAATTCCCATTCCCAGAGAGGTGATGGATTGATGGGATCTCGCTTCCCAATCCATCTTTTCTCTTTACACAGAGCTGCTGCAGCTTTATCCAGCTCTGCTCCTGGAATTCTCTCCCGTTCCCGCTCCCTTCGGGCTGATGGGAATGCATGCAGGCATTAGGGACGGGTATTAATTAAAAAATTATTAATTAATTAATTCATATTAATTCAATCCTGGAATTGCTCCTCCACTTCCTACTCCAACCACCAGCTCCACGACCTTTTCCATCGGGATAATGTCGTTATCCCGGGAGGAATGGATGGAATGATCATCCCACATTTTATTTCCACAAAACCTGGCAAAAAACTGGTTTTTATCTTGGATAATCCCACCGAAATTTACCAGCTGGGAAAACGCAGGAATACCAAATTTTACAAATCCTGGAATTTCCAACCACCCAGAGCACGGAGGAGAAAATATTCCCGCTGGGATAAAACCCAAGAGAGAACATTCAGGAAAAACAGGGATGTGGACAAAAAGCTTTTCCCGTCCGTTCTAGGATTCAATGGAACGTGGCCAGTCCCACCCCTCTTCCCACCCATCCATTCTGTTTTATTTTAATCACCAGCCCCAAAGCCCATCCATGGGCAGCATTTCTTGGATCAGCTGGATACAATCAGTCCCAGCAGGAATCCAAACCCGTAATTACGTGGAAAAACGGAGGGAGGGTTTATTTATGCAGGGGATGGGAGTTTTGAGGATGAGACGAATAAATCAGGGGGGAAACGGTTAAAAAAAATGGGATTGGGGAAGTTTGGTGGAGAAAAGCAGCTGCAGCAGAGGCTCTGTGGCTTCTGAAATCGCAGGAAGAACGGAGGGTTTGGACCTGGAATGCTTTGGGAATGTTGGGATTCGGGGAAGCGGCGCAGCCCCCCTGCCTTGGCTGTGAATCCATTTCCTACCCAGCTTTGTTCAGCCTCCCATAAAAACTTCCTGCCCTTCCACCGACCTTCCCAGAGCGCTTTTCCCCAGCCTGGAGCCATTCCCACCTTTTCCCAGGCCGGCAAAACCTCCCTGTGAGCGAAACCCTTCGGAATCACATCCAGCTTTATCCCCGCCTTCACCTCCGAACCACCAAATTCCATCCAAACCTCCTCTCCCAAAAAACACCTCTGGGGGCTCTCCCAAGTTTTCCCAACCGCTGGAAAACACGGATTTGATTATTTTTTTTTTTCCCCCCCACCCTCTCTCACCCAGGGATGCACACACAATGCATCTCCTCTGGTTGACAACCCCTCTTCTATTTCGGGAATGCTGATCCGCAGGTGGAATTGGATTTCTGTTCCCATGACTGACAACACAACTCCATCCCGGCCTATGGCAGCTGCTGCTATTTTCAGCTCTCTGCCTCTCTCCAGTATTATTCCAAAGGTGAGAACTATTTCCAGAGAACACCAGAACAGCGTTTTTCACACCTTCACAGGGGAAAAAAAAAAAATATGGGGAAAAAAAAAAACAATGGAGGGATTTTGGAAGTTTTGCCACGGGGCGAGAGAAGGGAGTTTATGAGCTCGTGGAGGGTTAAAATGGAATTAAAATCCATGTTGGAATGGGGAAAATAATCTTAAAAGTGGGGTGTCATGGGGATATTCCTCAGCAGCAGGCAGGGAAGCGCTGATTCCATCGATCCTGGCAATGTGGGAATGGGAATTGTGTGTAGGGATTTATAAATCCATAAAAACCGGTGAAAAGGGATGGAATTCCGAGCTGGAAATGGTGAATGTGGAGGGTGGGATTTGGGTTTACAGCACGGCTTGTCACGGAGAGAAAATGGGGGGAAAATTGGGAGAAAAATGGGGGGGAAATGGAAGAAAATGGGGGGAAAATGGGGGGAAATGGGGGAAAAATGGGAGGAAAATGGAGAGAAAATGGGGGAAAATGGGAAAAAATTGGGAGAAAAATGGGGGGAAAATGGGGGGAAAATGGGAGGAAAATGGAGAAAAATGGGGGAAAAATGGGAAAAAAATGGGGGGAAAATGGAGAAAAATGGGGGAAAAATGGGAAAGAAATGGGAAAGAAATGGAGAAAAAAATGAGAAAAAATGGGGGAAAAATGGGAAAAAATGTGGGAAAATAGGGAAAAAATGAGGAGAAAATGGGGAAAATTGGGGAAAAAATGGGGGGAAAATGAGGGAAAAAATGGAAAAACAATGGGAAAAAATGGGAAAAATTCCAGCCACAATGGCAGGATAAATGGAATTCACCTCAAGCCATCCACGTGCAATTCCCACCGACATTCCCGAGCCAGCCCTTCTGTGTCAGTGCCCCACAGGGGCTGCAGGGAAGGAATTTTTCCCCTACAGCCACGGCTGCTCTCCCAGAGTAGGTGTTGCCCTGTGACTAATCCCTGGAAGCCACCCAGATCCATCAGCTGCCGATTCCAGCGGTTCCCGCTGGATAAACGTGGAATTCTTTATTTCACCTCTGTGGAAACGTGGCTAATCCTGGCCACGGCCCCACGGAGTGAAGGTGCTGCTTGGCACAGCTGGAATATTGGATAAATTGGAATGTTGGAATGTTGGTAAAGGGATTTGGATTGCGGCTCTGTTGGTGTAAATCCCCCCCAAATCCCGGGATTTTGCTGCCTTTCCCAGAAATGTGTTTGCAGCAAGGCCCTGTGGAGCAGTGACAGGCATGGAATGGGCTCTGGAGTCACCAAACTGGGATTCAGAGGAGGATTCTGGTTGGAAAATTGTTCCTGGATCATCAAATCCAAGCTGTGCCCAATGCCCACCTTGTCCCCAGCCCAGAGCTGCGAGTGCCACCTCCAGGGATTTCTGGGACACCTCCAGGGATTCCTGAGACTCCAAACCTCCCTGGGCAGCCCCTTCCAAGGCCTGGCCACCTTTTCCATGAGGAAATTCCCGCTGTTCTCCCACCTGCAGCTCCCTCAGGCCGTTCCCTCCTGTCCTGGTGTCCCCTGGGACCCCCCTGGCTGTCCCCTCCTGCCAGGGACGTGTGGAGATTGGGAATGTCCCCCCTGATCCCGCTTTTCTCCAGGCTGAGCCCCTTCACAGCTCCCCCAGGAATTCTCCAGACCATTCCCAGCTTCCTCAGGAATTCCCAGCTCCTTCAGGAATTCTCCAGCCCTTTCCCAGATCCCTCAGGAATTCTCCAGGCCATTCCCAGTTCCCTCAAGAATTCTCCAGCTCTCTCCCAGCTCCTTCAGGAATTCTCCAGCCCATTCCCAGTTCCCTCAAGAATTCTCCAGCCTCTTCCCAGCTCCTTTTCCTATTTTTTTAAGGGAAGAGGGATTGGCTGGGAGGAGCAGGGAATGCTCAGCTCAGGGATGCTGGAGCACCAGGAGCCAGCTGAGCTCAGTGGAACAGGATAAACTCGGGAGAGATAAAGACATATCTGGGATCACGCTGCCGCCTGTGCCAGAATGTCTGCTGGGAATGTCTGGATCGTGGATTTGTTTCCCAAAAAAAACCCCCAGCGTGCTGCACAGCTCCGAGCTGATGGACAGACATTCCTGGTCTGGAAAACCATGGAATGCTTTGGGTTGGAAAAGCCCATCCAGTGTCACCCACACCTCCTATGCCCAACCTGGGACAATTCCCTGGCGTTCGTAGGGAAAGCAGGGATTTAAATTGGAAGGAAAAGCACGGAGAGAGACCAGATCATCCTAAAAAAAAAGCCAATGGATCAGGATTCCATAACCCAAACGATGGGAATGCCAAGGTTTAATTGGGATGAGTGCAATTAAACCTGCCAGACAGCGGTGGAATTCCACAGCACTCGTGGAATACAGGGAAAAACGATTCCCAAGACTTCACCCAGGAGCGTGGAGCTCCTTGGAATCGCTGCCAGATCCCGTGGATCCCTGGAAATGCAGCACCTGGAGCTTCCTGGATCCTGAACCCGGCAGAACCGCCAGGACCCCACTTAGGGACACAATTCCCAAGCTGGAAACGCATCCAGCAATTCTCAGCCTGCCCAAAAGGTCTTGTTTTAATAAAAAAGGGAAATAAAGAGTCCCCCAGGCCTCGATTTCTTCTCCCTGATAGAAAAGTTTGACGAAATTCCCAACATTTGTTTGGGAATTGCACCATAAATTCTCGGAGGAGCAGCCGGGCCACGTCAGGATTTATGGAGCATAAACACCGAGCTCTTGCCAGCAAGAAAAAAAAAAAATAAAAATGAAGTAACTCAGAGTGGAGGAAATGAAAAATAAAACGCCACAAAAAAACCTCCCAAAAAAGAAGAGAAATCCAGAGAAATCCTCCTGCAGCTCCCGAGCTCGGGATGAGCTCTGGAGGGGATAAACCACACCAGGAATGTTTCAATCTCGTGCATTTTTCTAACAGCAGATGAGGCAGAAATGGACAAAATTCCTCCAGGGCAGAAAAAAACAAAACTAAAAACCCTTTCCAAACTATTCTATAGATTTAAAAATAGATTTCTTTTTTATTCCCGGAGGGGACAAGTTGGGAATAAAACAAAAAAAAAAAGGTTTTTAGTGGGGGGATGTTGAGAGTGTCCATCCCTGGCTGTCACCTGAGAGGGATCTGGGAATGCCAAGAGTGGGAATTTCCTTCCCTCTGGAATCAGGGCCCGTTTTCCTGCTCCTCCATTCCCATCAGGAGCGAGATTATTGTTCCAGTAACTCTGTTCTCCCGTTTGCTTTCTGGAACATGAAAACAAAGGAGGTTTCTCGGCTTTTGGAAAGTCACTAAAAATCCATCTTGAAGCGGAAATTCGGGAATGTTTTCATCTCTACAGACCCAACCCAGGCTGAAGTAGTTTAAAACTCCTTCTTGTCTGTCAGGAGGGGGGAAAAACCACACGATAAACGATGGGAAAGCACAACCCTTAACTAAATTTCCTGTTTTGTGTCTCGGCGTTAACAGCGTGCCCGAATTTCCTCTTTTTTTTTTTATTTTTTTTTATTTTTTCTGTCCTTAACGTCACAGCCAATCCCTCCCCACCCATTCCACAAAAACCCCGAACTGCTGGAGATTCCAGCTCGTTCCCAGGAAAAATCCAGCTCCTCACACCCCCTTAAAACAAAGATTAAACCTCCCTCGGAGCCCCCACCAGCGAGAATTCACCCAATTAAACCAATTACTCCCCAAAATTAAACACACTTTCTGTTGGGGTGGGTTTTTTTAATTAATTCCTGGCTGCTCAGGTATTTTGAAGGAGGAAAAAAATGAGTTTTTTCCTTCTAATTTTTTTCCAGGATTGTGCAAGAAGTGACATTTTTTTGGGGGGGGAGAAGATCGAAACTGGAGAGCGTTTGCGAGCGAGTTTCACTTTCAGAAACTCCAAATGCCGCCGTGCTTTGGGGCACAATGGCTCGTTTGTCCCCTGGGTTTCCATCCAGGCCCTTTTTGGCACGACCCAGCGGCAGCAGATGATAACAGGAGGGACCAAAATCAAGGCCTGGGCTCTGCCAGTTCTCTGAATCCCAGCAATTTATTGTCAAGTACAAATTAAGTGGGGAAATCTCGGACTAATTAATATTTAAGACAAAGCTCTCTCTCTCAGCTTTTGAGGTTTTTTTGGTTTTTGTTTTTTGTCTGAATGTGACAACGGGCAGGCAGGGAACTGGATTTATTTATGGTTTTAGTTCTGTTCCCAGTTTGTGGAAAAGCCAGGGGAGAAGAAGATGAAGAAAAAGAAATCACCTGGCAACAGGTGAGACACCCTGAGCAGAGACCTCGGGGATGCTGCAGCTGGGAAATCCAGAATCCGGCTCCACAAAGAAGATTTTTGTGGCTAAATCACTTCAGGAATTCCAGGATATTGGAATTAGAGGTTTCCACCACTTCAGGAACCCCAGGATATTGGAATTAGAGGTTTCCACCCCTTCAGGAACCCCAGCATATTAGAATTAGAGGTTTCCACTGTTTCAGGAATTCCAGGATATTGGAATTAGAGGTTTTCACCACTTCAGGAACCCCAGGATATTGGAATTAGAGGTTTTCACCACTTCAGGAACCCCAGGATATTGGAATTAGAGGTTTCCACCTCAGAGCTCCTCACATCAAGGTCAGGTTGGAATTTTGGGGCTTGGAGCAACCTGTGGATAGTGGAAGATGTCCCTGCCTGTGACTGGATGGGTTTTAGGGTCCGTCCAAGCCAAACCACCCCAGGATTTCTGGTGACCTCAACTCCTCTGATTTCTCATAAAAATGAGGAAATCAACACCGGTTCTACAGCCTCAAGCAGGTCCCTCACTTATCTCACATCAGCACACACACACACCATATTTTATAAATCACTTTTTCCCCCTCACTCTCTTTTTCCAGGCACAAGAATCCCCCAACAACCACAAAATTCCCCCTCTGATTTTCCAGGTTTTTCCAGCCCTTTTCCCCACAGCCTCTGGAAACTCTTCCAGAGCTGCACTGGGGGTTACAAATCCAACCAAACCATCCCATTTTTCCCACCCTGAGCTCATTTTTAGAGCTGAAAAGGCAAGAAAATTATTTGTTTAAGTGCCAGCTCCAGCTCTGTGCTCGCCACCTCCTCCCAAACAGCTCCCCCCACCCGCTGGCCACTGGACAAGTGGCCACTTAGAGCCTTCCACGAACCAGAGCGTTCCCAGGGCGATTATTCCGGAGCTGGAGCTCATCCAGCCCCGGCTCTAACGGGGCAGCGACAGCCACAATCCCCTAACAGCGAGGAAACTGCCGTAAAATCAGGAAACTGCCACCAAATCAGGAAACTGCCACCAAATCAGGAAACTGCCACCAAATCAGCTTTTTCCAAGAGTGTCCAGTTCCTCCGGAGCCAAGAGAAGCGGGGTCCCTCGTTAGGCTAACGAGCTCCAGGGCACGAGGCTGATAAGGGGGATGAGAAGGGGACAGAGCTCCGTGTCCCCTGTCACACGCTCCCCTCCCGGCTCGGATCCCTGCCGTGCTCCCTTCCAACAGGGATCAACGTGCCCAGGGCAGCTCGGGATGCTTTCATTCCCTCCGGAACAGCGCATCCAGGGATGAGATGGGAACAGCAGGAAAATGGGAATGGGCACCAAAACTGTGTCAAGCGTCGCAGCTCCCCCCGCCCCAGCAGCCACACAAAAGAGCCATTTCCATTCGTGTCACAGCCACAGATGGCAGGAGGAAACCTCTGGGACAATCAGCTCCGTTTAAATGTATTGATCCAGCTTTTTTTGGGGTGGTTTGTGGTTTTTTTTGCCCGTTTTTCCCCGCAAAAGAAAGGGATGAATGGTGGCTACAGAGTCACAAATTCCCGTGGATTTGTTTTATGGTCACGGAGCTGACCTGGGAGGTGAAGGATCTGCTCACCTGGCTGTGGATATCCCACAGGGCAGGGAGACAAAGACCTGTGGGACCTCCCGGGGGGATGGAGGCCTGAGCTCAGCCCTGAGGAACCACTGGGCTCCGAAAAGCTGAAGAAAACCAAGCAATCGCCTCCAAGGCCTCGAGTTTACTTGGATTAAATACTGACTTGCTGACTCCTGTGGTCTGTCACACACCAGATTTCTCTCCTGGTAGGAATCACCCCCATTGGACGGGTCCAGGGCAGCGTCACAAGGAGCTCACAAAGCTGGAGGGTACCAGTTTTCCCAAAAAACAAACCCTATTTAGCCACAATAACTTCCTCCAAACAGCAGCAGGGGTGGCTCAGAGCAGACACAGCTCCAGCCCAGCCCGCTTGGCTTTGGTTTAAGGCCACACCTGACGGCCACAGCCCAGGATGGAGGCAAATCCCAGATTTGTACCCACAGCTCCAATCCCTGCTTCCCTGCACTTCCCCAACTCCTAAAGGACGCCCAGCTTCCCATTCCACACCTCTAATTGGAAGTGAGGAGCAGGAGACAGATTTCTCTCTCTCTCCCTTTGTCTGCGGCACCCACTTACCTCCTCTACACCTCAATAACACAAAACCCAGATCCTGCAGCCACCCCTCCTTTATGTAACCCACACAATTCCCCGATGCCTCCCGAACCCTGCCTGGATCAGGCGGGATCCCAGCGCTGTCCCACCGGCTCCTCTCCACACCAACCCACCCTCAACTCGCACGCGGGAAACAAACAAGGAAATTATGCGATGTTGGACGTTCTGCTGAGCTCCCAACCTCCTTTTTCACCCCAAAACAGGGTCTGCTTCACCATTAAAGTCACCCAACTTCCCAAGCAGCTGGCGCTGAACCGTGCCCCTCATCCATTCCGACTGTCCCTTGTCACCTCATCCACCCAAAAATGCCCCTCGCCACCCCACCCCCGGCGCCAGCCATCG